GGACCCTGGGGTCATGACCTGAGCCGAAGACAGACGCTTAGCCAACTGAGCCACCCAGGTGCCCCTAGAATTAAGTTTCTTAGGGAACTTGCTGGTATGATTCTAAAAATTTATCATAGCATTTACATGTTTAATAAGTTACAAGTAATTGCCAAATGGCTTATTTACCAGAAAAAGAAACATCTTATTGCATTTATATAATTTCTCTCCCTCCCTCCTTTTTTATTAACATATAGTTGATATACAATATTAGTTTCAGGTGTACAGCATAGTTATTCAGCAATTACATGCGTTATGAAATGCTCACCACCATAAGTGTGGTTACCATCTGTCACCACATAAAGTTACTACAGTATTATTGACTACATTCCTTATGTTGTACTTTCCAACCTTGTGACCTACTCATTTTATAACTGGAAGTTTGTACCTCTTAATCTCCTTCACCTATTTTGCTCATCCCCTGAATCTGCCTCCCCTGTGGCAACCACCAGTTTGTTCTCTGTATTTATGAATCTGTTTTTTTTGTTCATTTGTTCATTTGTTTTGTTTCTTAGATTCCACATATAAATGAAATAATACGGTATTTGTTTTTCTCTGTCTTATTTCACTTAGTATAATAGCTTATAGGTCCACACATGTTGTCACAAACTGGCAACATTCCATTCTTTTTAATGACTAATATTTCATTACACACACACACCCCCATCTTTATTCACCTATCGATGGAAACTTAGGTTGCTTCCACATCTTGGCTATTGTAAATAATGCTACAATAGACACAGGGGTGTATATATCTTTTCGAATTAGTGTTTTTGTTTTCTTCAGGTAAATACCCAGAAGTGGAATTACTGGGTCATATGGTATTTCTATTTTTAATTTTTTCAGGAATCTCCATACTGTTTTCCAGAGTTGCTACACCCATTTACATTCCCACCAACAGTATATAGGGGTTTCTTTTTCTCCACATTCTTGCCGATGCTTGTTATTTCTTGTCTTTTTTTAAAAGATTTTATTTTATTTTATTTTATTTTTTAAGATTTTACTTATTTGAGATAGGGAGAGAGAGCACACAAGTGGGGGGAGGGGCAGAGGGAGAGGAAGAAGCAGACTCCCTGCTGAGCAGGGAGCCTGACCCAGGCTTGATCCCGGGACCCCATACTCATGATCTGAGCCAAAGGCAGACACTTAACCGACTGAGCCACCTAGGTGCCCCAAGATTTTATTTTTAAGTAATCTCTACACTGAATGTGGGGCTCGAACTCACAACCCTGAGATCAAGAGTGCATGCTCTACTTACTGAGCCAGCGAAGTGCCCCATAATCTTGTCTTTTTGATACTAGGTATTCTGACTGGTGTGAGGTGATATCTCATTGTGGTTTTGATTTGCATTTCCCTGATTATTGATATTGAGCCTCTTTTCATATGTCTGCTTGTCTTCTTTGGAAAAATGTCTATTCAGGTTTTCTGCCCATTTTTAAATCAGGTTATTTGGTTTTTTTTTGGCCTTGATTTGTGTGAGTTATTCATATATTGGGTATTAATCCTTACTGGATCTATCATTTGTAAATATCTTCTCTCCTTCAGTAGACTGCCTTTTTGTTTTGTTGATGGTTTCCTTTGCTGTGCAAAAGCTTTTTAGTTTAGTCCCAATAGTTTATTTTTGCTTTTGTTTCCTTCGCCTAAGGAGACATATCCAGAAAAATAGTGCTGAAGGCTGATATCCAAGTTTACTGCCTGTGTATGTGTCTGTGTGTGTATTTGTCTGTTTGTTTGTTCTTAGGAGTTCTCTGGTTTCATGTCTTACATTTAGATCTTTAATCTGTTTTGAGTTTATTTTTGTCTATGGTACAAAAAAGTGGAATTTCCCTCCCCCCCTTTTTAAAGATTTTATTTATTTATTTGACAGAGAGAGACAAAGAGAGAGAGGGAACACAAGTAGGGGGAGTGGGAGAGGGAGAAACAGGCTCCTCCCTGAGCAGGGAGTCTGATGCAGGGCTTGATCCCAGGACCCTGGGATCATGACCTGAGCTGAAGGCAGACGCTTAACAGCTGAGCCACCCAGGTGCCCCTCTGCTCCCCTTTTTTTATTGTAAAAAAGAAAAAATGGACAAATCTTATAGTTTGTATTTTACTGCTATCTTTGGAAGTCATTTTTTAAAAATAAAGTATAACAGTGTTTACCTTGGATGTTCTATTTGACCTGGTTCTTTTTTTTTTTTTTTTTTTTTAAGATTTTACTTATTTATTCATGAGAGACTGAGAGAGATAGGGAGAAAGGCAGAGGCAGAGGGAGAAGCCGACTCCCCGTGGAGCAGGGAGCCCATATATATATGGACTCAATCCCAGAACCTCAGGATCATGACCTGAGCAGAAGGCAGACGTTTAACCGGCGCCCCCATTTGACCTGGTTCTTGAGCTAACTTTCTCATATGTTATCTGCTACTAACTGAAAATAAATCATTTAATATCCTTGTGAAATAGAAATCCTAACTATCCTGTCCTAACACTAATGAATTGAAATAATAATAGCTTCTTTCTAGATGAATTCTGAGTTTTTAGGGTTAATCAGGATTCTCTTGTACTATTTTGTGTAAATATTTGGTTATGTCATTGAAAATCTGTTTTCTGTTAAGCAAGACCATCATAATTGTTACTCAGTATTTATTAAGTACCATTTATATGCAAGAAACTAAAGGAGATATGACAAGATCCCTAACTTCAAAGGCTTATAATCAAATTGAGTATTAGAGTAGATATCAATATAATCTGGTACATGTTAAGTGGCAAATATATACATAGTATACACAGTGGTGCTCCAAGTATTAATAATGAGTTGGTTATAAAAGGTTTCACAAGGGACATAGGATGTGAGTCAGGCTTTTAAGACAGAAGAGGCCATTCTAGGTATAAGGGCTAACAATGGATGCTCCTTGTGTTTATGTAGTAACTTTTTTTTTTTTTAGTAGATGTGCTGCCGAAGCGAGCACTGTAGTAACTTTTTTTTTTTAAGATTTTATTTATTTGACAGAGAGAGACAAAGCGAGAGAAGGAACACAAACGAGGGAGCGGGAGAGGGAGAAGCAGGCTTCCCGCTAAGCAGGGAGCCCAATGCGGGGCTTGATCCCAGCACCCTGGGATCATGACCTGAGCCGAAGGCAGATGCTTAACAACTGAACCACCCAGGCACCCCATGTAGTAACTTTTTACTACAAGAATTTAAATAGGGAGTTTAATATTGGAGGGACTCAAATGACAAGCTAAAAAGTTTGCAGTGGGGAAGTAGAAAATAGTTTTGAGCAATGGGTGGTGATAAATAGGATTTTGAAAATTTTAATTGTTCAATTAGTTTGATTTCTTAAATGAGAGGTGCCACATAAAAGTAGTATTAAATATTATTAATCTTTCATAATTACAGATTAGACCATGCTCATGTTGCATGCATAGATTAGAAAATTGGTATCTTAAATGTAAGTTTTTTCCATGTTTGTGGGAGTTAATGTCATTCTTCTGGGCTACAAGCTACAAGTGTTAATAAAAACATCCTTTTCCCAGCTGAACACGATTTTTGACTTTTTGCAGGGTTCTAACCTGGGAAGTGCTGTATGTTTTTCTATACATACATGCAAGTATACATGGATAATGTGGGCTGTACATGATTATTCCACCTAATGTTTCATGAGTTTAAGCGTAATGGAGAAAGTTAATGACAAGCATGAAAATAACCTCCATCTGTTAGAGTGAACACATATGAAAAATATGAAGAGCAGTAGATAAGGTATTACAGTTTTCCAAATCTTATAAATGAAACTATTATACTAGTGATAATTTATGAAAATTTGGGAGTTAGTTGAGTAGCTCAAAATTGTCTGGATAGGCTAAGATCCATCTTTTTCCTGTCTTCAAAGAAATTTATAAGGTAAGGGAATAAAGTATAGCCTGACAGTTTCTCATACATAGACACATACCTGCACCAGTTAAGACAGAACTATCTAAAACATGTTAAGTTTTATTTCCCTTCTCTTACTAATACTGTCTGAAGGACTTTTAGTAAACAACAAAGGTAATTGGAGGATGTTAGATACAATTGCAAAGCTTTAGTCTAGGACTGCTTAGTACTACTAGGGTTTTGGGAAGTCTTTTATAGAAGTCTGTGTCACCAGTAACTTGTTTTGGATTGTGTAGTTGCTGTCAGTGCTCGATATATGGTGGGGATGGGGGGGGGACAGTAAGTAACTTCATTTATGATAGGTTCTATACAAAGTTGAAGGAAGAGCTTTTAAATGTCCTCAATTTATTTAACTAGACCTAACCCCACTGTATCTTTCTGTTGGCCAGTGATGAGAAAGGGAGCAGATGGCTTTCTTGCGGGTCATATGTCCAGTACTAGAAGATAGCATTTATTTATGTATGTATATATGTATGTATGTATGTACGTACGTAAGAAGGTTCCACTCCCAGTGTGGAGGACAACAGAGGATTTGAACTCATGACCCTGAGATCAAGAGTTGGATGCTTAACCAACTGAGCCCCCTAGGCATCCCAAAGATAGCATTTTTTTTTTAAGATTTTATTTATTTATTTGAGAGAGAGAGAATGAGAGATAGAGAGCACGAGAGGGAAGAGGGTCAGAGGGAGAAGCAGACTCCCCGCCGAGCAGGGAGCCTGATGTGGGACTCGATCCCGGGACTCCAGGATCATGACCTGAGCCGAAGGCAGTCGCTTAACCAACTGAGCCACCCAGGCTCCCCAAAGATAGCATTTTATGTTAAAGGCTTGTGTGTTCCCTTAGCTGCTATGGTCTGCAGCCTACTGAGCTTATGTTACCAGATGAATAACTAGTCCAGATGGCTAAACTGTTGGAGAATATAAAACCAAAACCCATTTCAGGAAGCTATCCACTTTGTTCATTTTTGGATAGGATCCATTCTAATTAGTGGTAACTTTCTGAATTTGTTTTAAAATTTGATTTTTAACTGTATGTTTTCTTGATTTTTACCTAGGTTACAAAATACACTCCTATGCTTGAGATCCACAGACTACATGTCCTACAAGAACAAATCAATGATTTTTCATCTCCTGGAGATACATTAGAAACATAACTATGGTGCCAAAAGATCTCCTTAATTTTCTCTGACTACGGTTTATTTGGATGTAGTTTTGTATCGAAGAGAAATATACGGACTGAGGCTACTCGTGCAGAGACTCTGTCGTGTAGGATCATGGACCATCCTAGTAGGGAGAAGGATGAAAGACAGCGGACAACTAAACCCATGGCACAAAGGAGTACCCACTGTCCCCGACCGTCTGGCTCCTCAACATCCTCTGGGGTTCTTATGGTGGGACCCAACTTCAGGGTTGGCAAGAAGATAGGGTGTGGGAACTTCGGAGAGCTCAGATTAGGTAAGGACTTTGGTTATATCAGTGGCTTCCAACAACAACAACAACAGCTGTAATTAGCTTTGGTGTGTTTTAGAACAAGCAATTATAATTTCATGAGTCATTATCTTAAGGAGGACTTGCTATTTTAAGAACTAAAGAATTTGTGAAGGGGACTGTAGTCACTACCAATTATAATTGTATCCAAGGTTCATCTCTGTTTGTGTATGATAGGCTTTTAAATTTACCACCAATTCTGAGATTTTATGATGTAGGGAGAGCTGCATACAGATAGCAATAAAATGAAAATTCTGATTTCGTTGGTCTGAGAGGTAGAGCCTTAAATTCTTTTTAACAAACTTCAAGTGACCTAGATATTGTTGGTTCTTGAACCACACTGTAAGGAGGGAGTAACGCCTTGCTTTAATTCAGACTCTACCCCTTATAAGGGGTAAATCCTTACTGAGTAATACCCAGAGTTAGTCTATAAGGATATACATCCTGTTCATAGAGGCTTTCCAACTGATACTATGTTTGCATTTCTTCCTGGAAATAACCAACATCAGGATTGATCTAGAACTCCAGGGAGAAATTATGCAATTTTATTTCCCAACCAAGGAAATGGATTTTTTAATTTCAAGTATGAATTTATGAGTATGATGAAAAATGACAAAACCAACCAGTTTGAAGATGTGAAATTGGGAAGTAGATACAGTAGGTATTTATAAATTTTTCAGTGGCCCTCCCTAGATGAATTGGGAAGAGAAAATGAAAGATCTTATATGAAGTTGGACATCAGCTTGGAGAATGTGAAGAGGTTCCCTTTTAGGCTAAAGTGTTTGCTTTTTCTCCATAGCTGTTATGGGTATGGATTATTATGAAGACCCATTGTAAGAGACTCTGGCCCTTGGGGCAACAGGAGTGTGGGAGGGTAAGATGATTATTGCTTGTCACCTCTGCTATTTCTGATCTTCAAAAGAAGAAGGAAAAAATGTTGTCTCTGGTCCGTCATAGAGAGAATCAGGGAAGCATCACTACACTAGGGAAGAGATCACTGAGTGCACAGTTGAATTTAAGGATGCTGAGTATGAATTTATTTTTACTGGTAGAAGGCCAGTAGCCTGGAATTTTAAGACCTGACTAGTGTAATGGAAGGCTCTTTATATTTAGTGATGTTCGAGTTAGCAAATCTAGCAGATGCTACTGAGAAGAGGAGTAAGATGTGTAATTTCACACTGCTTGAGTTCCTAGCAACTACTGAGTTGTTTTAGCAGCTAGTTTCGTGAATATTCATTTATGTAATGGATTGACTTTGCTCTAACATCACAGTAGTAACTTGAATTAAATAGATTATGACATAATCATCCACAGAATTACTACTGAGAGGCAGTTTGATGCATATAAATTCTTGCTTTCTCAGAACATCATAAAATTGTTTGATTTCTCTAAAGGTAAAGAACAACTTTAGTCAGTGAAAACTGGAAATCTGTCTTGTTTAATTACTTAAGTCTAGATTTGTATTAGATGATCTTTAAGTTTACATAGGAATAGAAAAACTTACTGAGTTAAAAGGATAAATATATAGCCCATCTGTATTTCAGAGTAGTAGAGTGTTGTGTTTTATTTCCTTATATGAATTTAGGATAATTTTGGGAGTTCTCATTTTGGCTTGCCTTGTAGTCAGTAGAAAGACCTTTCTTTTGAAGTGGTTTTAGTCTTGTGTACTTACCAGGTTTTTATTATCCCTGGGACCATATTGTCATGACATTGTATCTAGGAATACTTTTTATCAACAAAAACCAGAAAAGGTACTTCCAGAATCATTTGACATCTTCCTAACAATAGGGTATGCTATATACTCCATTCCACTGCTCTTTGCCTGTGCTATTAGTAAGTAGGAGATTGTGCAGACAACAGAAGATAAAAACTAGAGATTCCGAACTCAAGGCAGGTGCAGATGGGCCTTCACCAAGGCTACCACCTACAAAGCCATGCTTTCTTCTCCACATTCGTTTCTTTCTCTAGCCACACTGTCTCTCTGCCCCTCAAACAGCCAGATGCATTTCTGCTTCAGAGCTTTGGCATTTAAAGTTCCTTCTACTGCAGAATTCTTCCCCCAAATTTTGCTTAGGTAGTTGCTTCTCATCCTTCAGGCTTTACCTTTTGTTACCTTCTCAGAGAAACCTTCAGTGATTTCTCCCCCTACCTCCATTTAAAATGGCACATTTCTCCCCTAGCTAAATTCTATCCCATCAAACACTATTTTAGTCACCATATTGATCACTATCTGAAATGATTTTTTGCATGTTTGTTTACCTGTTAATTGTCTCTCCTTACTTGACTATAACCCCCTTGGAGGGTGGGGATTCTATCTGTGTTATTTACTGTTGTTAATCCGTGGGATGGATAGATAGCCAGATGAATAGAAAGAGAGAGAAAAAAACATAGCCTCCTTCAGGCTCCTGGTGGTAGGTAGTGGCCTTAGTACCACTGGATTTAGGTAGACCTCTGGTTTCCAGATAGAGAAACAAAGAAAATAATGCAATGTTAGTAAATTTTGGTTCTCTGCAAATCTGTTTCTACCCCATCATTCATTTAACAAACATTTCTTTTTTTTTTTAAGATTTTATTTATTATTTATTTGAGAGAGAGTGAGAGAGAGAGCAGGAGCAGAGGAGAGAGGGAGAAGCAGGCTCCCCGCTGAGCAAGGAACTCGATGTGGCGCTTGATCCCAGGACCCTGGGATCATGACTTGAGCCGAAGGCAGACGCTTAACGACTGAGCCACCCAGGCGCCCCTTAACAAACATTTCTTTCTTTCTTTTTAAGATTTTATTTATTTATTTGACAGAGAGAGACAAAGCCAGAGAAGGAACACAAGCAGGAGGAGTGGTAGAGGGAGAAGCAGGCTTCCCGTGGAGCAGGGAGCCCGATGTGGGGCTCGATCCCAGGACGCTGGGATCATGACCTGAGCCGAAGGCAGACGCTTAACAACTGAGCCATCCAGGCACCCCTTAACAAACATTTCTTGAATAATTACTATTTTACTAGACTTTGGGAAAGATAGAAAGAATAACAAAATGTAGTTTCCGTCCTTAAGACTCTGTCTCACAGTCTACTGGTAGAAAGAAAAAAACAAATTATAACATGGAGTGATAAGTGTTATAATAGATCATATTAAAAACTGCTTTGGCAGCAGTTAATAGAGGTTTCAGAAAGGAAGTATTATTTGAGAATAGGACAAGACTTCCACTGGTGGGCACAAGGAAGAAGGGCTCTCCAGCAGTAGGAGCACAAAACATTATCAGAGTAGCAACTAGTTAACCCAGCAACATGACTGGGTTAATGGATGTGAAGTAAAAAAAGTCATAGATGACTCTATTAGGTAGGTTGGGGCCAGATTGTGAAGTGTTTGGATGGTATTAAAGCATTTGGACTTTATCCTATAGGCAGTGGAGTAGAATCATCAAGGGTTTTACAACAGAAGAGTGACATGATCTGGTTTCTATTCTAGATAGAAGGATTATTCAGCTAGTTGTAAGATTAGATCAGATAAAAAAGAGATTGACATCTTGTGGATTTTGCTCTAATTATAAAACTTGTCACATTGTATTATCTTTCCCCATCTCTCTGCCTCAAAATTAGCCTGATGGTAGTACTTTGCTTCATTAATCTTTATATTCTCAGCTCCTTTTACTGTGTATGGCATATAATGTGTATTTAAGAAATGTTAATGGGTACTTAAGAAATGTTTGTTTGGCTTTATAGTCCAAGTCAGAAATGGCCAGACCTGCCTTAGCTCTTAGCTCTGAAAATGGCAGTGAGTTGAAAGGAAGGGATGAATGAGGGAGAAATTTCAGAAGTAGATTGTAGGCAGGATTTGACCACCAGATGTTTGAGGGGTAGCTTTCAAAGATGACGGAGTTTGCCAGCTTGGAGAGACCAAGTGAATGAAGAAACTTTTAATGGAAATAGGAAATAGAGTTTGTTAATATATTGACTTTGAGGAGTGTGCAGCACATATGCAAAAATGTGAATATGAGACTAAGAAAAGTTTAGGCTTGATAGGGATTAGGAGATCATCACCATGTAGGTGTTAATAGACACACAGTCACTACTTTATGGCGTTGGTATGAGTGGGAGAAAGGTACATTTAAGGGATGCTGGAAGAGGAAGAGCTTGAAGAGTAGAGAGGTTGGAAAGTCAGAAGAGGTTTTTCAAATTGTACTTTAGAACTTTCTCCAGGGACATCTGACTGGCTCAGTTGGTGAAGCATGCAACTCTTGATCTCGGAGTTGTGAGTTGGAGCCCCATGTTGGGTGTAGAGATTCCTTAAAAATAAAATCTTTAAAAAAAATGTTTTTCTGAAGATAACCACTAATTTTATTAAATTAATTTAATTTTCTATAATGTATATCAGGACATATTTTAGAAATGTAATCAAATTGTACTATAAATGTATTTTTATCACTTAATATAGCACGGATTTCTTTTTTCAATTTAAATATAGATCATTCTTGGGGCACCTGGGTGGCTCAGTAGGTTAAGCGTCTACCTTTTGGCTCAGGTCATGATTCCAGGGTACTGGGATCGAGCCCTACCTACATCTAGCTCCCTGCTCAGTGGAGAGCCTGTTTCTCCCTCTCCCTCTACTGCTCCCCCTGCTTGTGCTCTCTCTGTGTCTGTCTCTCTCTCTGTCAAATAAATAAATAAAAATCTTAAAAAAAAAAATAGCATTCTTTTTTTTTTTGAGAGCGAGCATGCATGCACACACGAGAGATGGCAGGGGAGCAGGGAGAGAAAGAATCTTAAGAAAACTCCACGCCCATGGGGTGCCTGGGTGGCTCAAGACAGTTAAGCGTCTGCCTTCGGCTCAGGTCATGATCTCAGGGTCCTGGGATCGAGCCCCGCAGGGAGTCTGCTTCTCCCTCTGCCTCTCCCTGCTGCTTCCTCTGCTTGTGCTCTCTCTCTCTCTGTCAAAAATAAATAAAATTAAGAAAAAAAAAAAAACTCCACGCCCAGCAC